TCCTGCTGAGGATTAAGCCTTATTATTGTGATGATCACCAGCAGTCAAGAGCTGTTTTACTTTCATCCCAAAAAGCCACCTAGCCCAGGTACAGACATTACACATTAACTGGCATAATTGGAAACCAGCCTATTCCCATAGCAGAACACATCCAGCATGTGGACTGGTTTAAAAATGGCAAAACCCGGTCTAAGATTCCCCCCATCCTCCACCAAAGAGCAAACGTGTGTTCTGTTCACTACTCACCTAAGAAAACCACATAACTTAGATCAATTCTGCCTGGGGCTTTTTGAATGTCTGTACCTAGCCCTAGTAACAACGTGCTTCCTAACGACGTACTGGGGCATTTGTTCAATACCTGCTATAAAAGGAAGTGTCATTTTCTGAATCATTAACCTGCCTTCCTGCATCAACAGCTGTGCATGTTCCTTGGGAGCTTCCCTTCCTAGGACTGATCCAGTCCGACTCAACTAGGTTCTCTCTCTTTGGTTAATCTAAATTTGAATATTTAGAAAAATAAGCTACTGGAATCCTGGCATTTAACTAGGGAGAGTTAAATGTGTCAACCAGAGATAATCACAAGCCCAAAATCATTAATTCAGGAGTTTGAGACATCAACATTGTGGTCCCTAAGCCTCTTTCCATTTTCTACTAGTGTATCTCCACATAAAATTTGTACCTCATTGATCCAGGCATCTTTTGATATCATCACAGTCACAGTGAGATCTTTGTCTTTAAGTTTCCAGAACATAATAGGAACCTGCTGTTGCACAGATGCTCAGGAGGATAGTGGGTACAAAAAGCCTCCCCCCACCACCCCCCAAGGACAGCACAATTACAAGAGTGCTCTCCTGAGATTCCTTCCATTTTTGCCCCCAGAAACTCTAGCCGCCTAAAAAGACAGCTGACTTGGAGGAGGAAATGGGATATCTGAAATTGCTAGGAGAGTCTGTCCTCTTAAAAAGGATGCAACAGACACTTCTTGCATTCTGTAGATTGTTTTTATTCAAGACGCACCAAGTTCCCTTCTTGGCTAAAACATCCGGCACGGGGCAATGCTACAACTGTGAGAATAAACTGCCAAACTGAACAATCCAAATATAAAAAATAAAAACGTTGCAGGTCAATTCAAATGATATTATTTTCCCAGTGTCCTGGCAAAACAAATTGGGCAGGAAAAAAAACAAAAAACTCGGTTTTATTTTTTTCTCTTGTATTTTTTAAAATTAAACTGGACTAAATTTACATATGAAGTTTCCATTTTAAAATGAAAAATTGAAACATGAAACATTGACTGAAAGTCAAATTTAACACAAATGCACTAAATAGTCTGTTCAGCCTAATTCTGCAGTTTTCAGAAATTGAAGATTTATTCAAAGCAGTCTCCTAGGTCTAAGCCTGTAACTCAGTGGCCTGTGCTTACAAGACATGTGGCTTTATTAATGAGGTTCTTTATTTTTGTCTCGACTACAACCCACCACCCTACCTGCCATTGAACTGCTACTGCAACATGTCCAAAACAAAGTCAATTCTAAATAGTTTCCTAAAGCTCTCTCTATTCACCCAACCCTAATATTACAGCCCATTGCTGAATAGATATATTCTGAGCTTAAACATAAAAAAAAAATTCCAAGGAGAAAACTTTTCTTTTCTGAACATTCTTTATGTTGGTTTGGTATTTATGAACCATAACCCTAAAAGGCTAAGTACTGCAATCATGCAACTCTCATTGAAGTCTACACTAAACTTGTCCAGTGTAGACCATGTGTTTGATTTATACCTTAATATTTTGCATTTCTGTTACTGGCTAAAAAAATAAAATAAAATAAAAAATGGAACTCAGCAATGAAAGGAAATATGTAAAATGTTGTCATCAAGCAATTTCATGTCAGCAGTAGCCTGCTCTGAGAAAGCGTGATTAACAACCCACAGAAGACTTTGCTGATAAAGAACAGGGATGGGTGTGCTCATTTTGCCTAATCCATTTTGGAAATGCTCAGAGATTTAGAACCACATATTTTTCGTCTCATTTCTTTTACAATCAGGGAAACATTTATACAATCAGCACTGCCAACACAAAGCTTTCAAAGGTCATGAGTCTGATTTAACACCCCCCTCCCCACAAAATCATGAGAGTTTCTGACATTATGAAATTTTAAAAAATAATAAAATAAAAGACTAAGATGACTTGTCTGACTTTTGGGGCCATCTGAACACTTTTCCAGCCTTTTTCTTGCAGGTGTGAGGTTTAGAAACAGAACTTTGATGTAAATGTGAGCTGAATTTCAGACAGAAGGGGAAAAGAGGTTGGGTTTTAATTCCTTCTGCCACCACTGATGCTTTAAACAATAATTTGGTATAAAACAAAAATAGCAGACACCAAAACCCAACACTTCTCTCTGTTAGGGCAGTCGTGTAACCAAGGTAGGGTGAGTGGGGCACCAATCCTGGTGACTGGCAATTAGGGGGTGACAGACTCCCCCAAGGGCACCCAAGTCTCCCCATGCACTGGATAGGATCCTGGGCAATTCACCCTGGATTTTAGATTCTGCACTGGGGCATGACATTTAGACACTGCAGCACCTGAGCTGCCCATGTCTTCTTTTGGATGTAGCGCTGGGTCAGTTTTAGCTGGTCAGTCCTGGATTACTTGTTTTCTAGATTAAAATCATAACAACATGCATGCTTTTTTCCCCCTAAAATTGAGCCCACCACAAATTTTACAAGGTGTGGTAACTACATTAATTTATTAAATTAAAACTAACAAATCCTGATTACCAGACATTGGCTGACCACAGAATTACTCATTAAACAAAAATATTGCTCTCTCTTGCAGTGAAAACCCTAGAAAAACAGATTGGCCTGAAGGCTGGGTCAGACAGATGGGGGAGGAGAGTTTCAGAGTCAATGACTCGCAGCAAAAACTACCCTGCCACTAGAATCAGTTCTAGGGACTTTTATGACAAACACAGAGACTTATCTCAAGAGAGGACAAGGAAAGAAATGGTTCTACTAACCGAAGCGTGCAGGCTTTAACATCAACTGTATCGTTACTTACACTGTGGGCTGAATAGTGTAGCAGGCTCACCTTTCAGAGTTTGGGTTGAATCCCAGGCTTGAGATCCTGCTGTTTTGATTGGTGGAGCCCATCCACCAATCAGGAGGCAGCAAGAGAAAAAGTCACACCCCTTTCCTGAGGGTTGGGGGTGGAGAAGAGCTCCCCCAGACCTGATTGAAGACTGTAAATTGTCAGGTCCAGAAGACTTCAGGGGCAGAGCCCTGGAGCGTATAAAAGGAGCTGCATGCCCAGCACAAGGACAGATGCAGCGAGGGACTCGAGACGAGTGTAGCCTTGAAAAGCTGGGGAGCTCTCCCCCAGTGGGCAAAAGGCCCAAGGCTCCTGAAGCTGCCACTGGAGGAGCAGGATTGGGAGCGGTACGAGACTGCTCGGGCTGCTGACGGTGCACAGGGATGGTGTGTGGAGACCCGGCCCTGAGAGTGCTGAGAGATTGCTCGGGCCCATCACGGTGCACAGTTCAGTGCACGGAGCCCAGGCTTTGGGAGCCGCAAGTGGCAGCTCAAGCCTGCAACCCTAGCAGGGCCAGCAGTCCACACCGTGCATGGAGCAGCGCA